GGAAAACTATAAAAGAGAGGGGGGGGGGGGGTGGGTGGGTGGTTTGCCTAGAATGACTAGGTCAGCTGTCAAACCGGCCAAATCGGATAAATTTAAAATAAAGACAAAATGATGTAAGGTATAAATTTCAAATATATTGTTATTTTACATTGAATTTCAAATTCTTCCAAACAAATAGCTAAATTTACAAATTCCCTGTATTAGAATGTAATGCACGGGCAATGTTGCCGACCAAACAATCCCTAAGAGAAATGAGGAAATGATTTTAGAAAGAATTTCATAGTAAAGAACTTACCTGCATAGCACCGGCACCAAGAACAAGCTGGCAAGTTCTGGTGTTGAACATTTTCAAAATTTCTGCCACACGATGGATGACTTCAGACGATAAAGCCGGCAAGCATTTACTAATATCAACATACTCGGACAGCATCTTCAATAGTATTAAACCACTGCAGGAATTAGAACAAATTTTAGTCCTACGATCAAAAGCTTAACACCAAATCATCGATAGTGACAATATCATTGTCAGTTATAGGAAAAAAATAAAAATTATTTAATAGATATATCAAAGGCATGCAAAAGCATTGCTCTGCTATAATAAAACAAAACAATCACATTGCTTTTAATCATAATGAAGCAGGGCATTAAAGAACATTATCCAAGAAGGCTTACTACCAGAACTCAAAAAAGTAGCACTGAAGTTGAAAAGGAGAAGTAACTTCATCTATCATGAAACAGACTAACCAGTTCACCATGTGATAACCAACGCCTCCATACACAATAGTCTGAGAAGTAGTTCTTCCAGCTTCAACAGAGCTACCATCAGCATTTTGATTTGGTGCAGAATCCAGTCTGTTTTCTTTATTAGAACTGACTGACAACATAAGGAGGATTTGCTTAGAATCACCTGAAGTGCTGTCATTTATCCCATTGCAACCTAAACAGTCTAGAGAAAAAGAGGCAATCATACCAGTTAGCTCTTCATTATGACTGTTTTGAAAAGACTCCTCGTGAAAATGAAGAGATGCAACAATTGCCTGAAATTCCTCAGGAACATCAACAGTCACCCATGTTTCTTGATCAAGAATTGCTTTAAGCTTTGTCATCTGTACAAGAAAATTGAAAGTTGGAGTGAATGACACTAACACTTATTTTGCAAGAAAAGAAGCACGAGCTTGTAGATAATTTAATCATTATTAGCAAGAAGAGGCAATTATCAGAATGCAACAGGTATTAAGAAAAAAGCTTTTGAAGGCATGACATACTCGAGATTCATGTTGAAAATCAACAAATGACTTTGACTGTGATTGCAGCGTTCCACGGATGCTATATCCTAGTCTCCCACCAATCTAATTAAAAAAGAATATTATATAAAAATCAAACAGGAAAACAACTAAGCAGAACATTTAATCCTAATAAATGTGGAATAAGGTAACAAGTACCTTCTCAGTAGCTGTGATGAAATCCTGTGTTATATTATAGATGTTTAGGAACTCTTGAAGCCTTAACTTTGGGTGAAGAAGAGCACGGACACCAAGAAGTTTAGCCCACCTTCCATGAGCTGAATCACATGCAGCAAACACAGCCTCTGTGTTTTCCCGTAATACATCAGCACTGAAATTAATTGTCCTTATCAGAGTGCTCGAAAAGTTTTTAAATAAATCTGAGCATCAGAAGTAGAATATAAGATATTTTTTCCATTTTCTAAGCTGGGAATCTAAGTCCATATTTCTAGGAAACAAAATTACCAAGCACAAATGAGTAACCAGTACATAGACTTCAACTAAAAAAAATGAGGCAATGGTAAAGAACTGTCCATAATGTAAGGAAGAACTCAACACAATAGATGGGCAAATGAAGCTTCTGCAGATACAGAAACTGTTATTGTCTGTAATGTACTAGAGGCTAAAAAATTTAATAGATTCTAAGATCTCTAAGAAAAGCTAAATACACTAAATTACATTCTACTGAAAACTCAACAACCATATACCGATTACATTCTTCTGTTTGCAGCGATATAATTTCAGTCCAAAAAGTCTCTAGTGTCTTTATCTTTCCACATTTCCACATACTATTCATATTCAGATGCTTCTCCAACCTGAACGTTCTGCAAAGTTTCATTCTCAAGTTCTTGCACAGTTTCATTTGTAAAAAAGTTGTTATAACCCTAAAATCATGCATTGAATTGCATTCATCGAATAATGCTTGGCCTTGCATATGGATTAGACTTAGAAGCAACACCTTGTAGTTGACAATAGCATATGACAACCAAAGAACCTTGGGTGATGCCAAATATTTTTTGTTAGCAGTCCATCAAAGGGAAAAAAAAAAAAGATGCCTCAAAATCTCCCAAATCCTCCATCATTCACAAGCAATGGAATTTGAGCATGCTCTCTCCGATTGCAGCGCCTTAAAAATTTAAAGAGACCTGCAAAGTTTTTACTCTTCTTAGATTGACATACAGCCTAAGAACATTTGCACTTCTGCCAAACACTCCAAAAAACCTACAATCTTCTTATCAACAATGAAGTTTGATCAATCAAACTCCATTTCATTATAGCCTTTGATTAAGGAGAATTTGCTGGGATCACAAAGATTGTTTCTCCTCTTAAGAACTGCTTAATTGGGAAATAAATAAATAAACAAATGAATGTGTCCCCTATGTCAACACTTGAAGCTTCTCCCATATTAACGGTGGATCCAAAGCAGTGAAGTTTGCCTTCATTATGATATAAATAACACAGTTTTAAGTCAAAAAAATAGCTTCTTTGAAAGGCTAAAGCCATACACAAACCAATCCAGCAATTGTATTTGAAGGAACTTCAAGTGGTAATTGTATTAGAAGGAACTTCAAGGGACAATTGTATTCGAAAGAACTTCAAGTGGTAATTGTATTCAAGTGGTAATTGTATTCGAAGCGAAAGAACTTCAAGTGGTAATTGTATTCGAAGGAACTTCAAGTGGTGGGTACGCCCTTTCCTAAACTTTTCCAACATAATTAATATGCACATCATGGATTCGAGGACAAGTGTAAAGTGGCATCAAATTGGCTTCGACTGAAGCTTGCATTGTAGATCACCTTTTGACTGAATATGTTAGTGATTGCCTGCTTGTTTCAACTAAACTTGTAGATTACCTTAATTGATATTCCATGTTTTATCATTCCTTCAAAATTGCTTCTCACCTAAAACTGATGGAAACTTGTAAATTTCTTGAGAGCTGACTTTGCATCCATACTCTGTTCTTAAAATTAGAGACTGAGTTTGAGGTTTTTAGCTATGATTTCCTATGAATTTAAGTTCGAAAAAGCTAGGGAACTCAATGCATTAAAAAAAAAAAATAGATCTGTTCAATCTAACCATACAAACAATTGTGAACTTCATCAAGGCCTCACAGCCTAAATGACAATGTGTTTCTATGATTCATTGCTTAATTGTTTACCATTAAATAATAAAATCAATCGTCATTATGATCCTTGCCTTCTTTACCATGAACACATCTTGATGAGAGAGAGAATAATGAAATATAGAACACTGAAGCCTACCAAAGTCCTTAGTCACGCCCCATACTAAATCTTAAATTTTAGTTTGATTTTTTATACAGCATTACTCGATTACAAAATCTCTCTGCGCTGTTACCCCCATATATTCATTATTTGAACCCAGAACACAGCATCGTAATCAAATAAAACCTATACAAACAAACCTAAAACAAATTCCAAAGACTTACAAAATAAAACACTAAATTTTAACAAAATAAAGTGATAAGAAATTTATGATAAAAAATTTAAAAGTTTAAAGACACTATTTAAAGAAAAAAAAAGTGAATAAAGAAAAAAAAAGTTAAGAAACCTCTTCAACATTTAAGTAAATGAATTATTCCTAAGCTTCCTCATGCTGCAAGCTTGCTTTGCTCGGAACTTGCTTCCCATCATTCTAGAACTTCTTGGCTACATTACATACTTTAAAATTTTAGTTTAATCATGCAAAAACAGCTCAATTTTGTTTGCTTCCGCCACATCTCCTTCAAGCAAAACCTCCAGGTAGTTATTATATCACCAACCATGAAAACGTTTAAAATAGATTATTTGATCGGATGTTTTCCAGCAATGAGCATAAGGATCAGACTTTGGATGAGCACAAGTGCCCAGGCATCTGCTGTATAGAACAGATCTAGGAATGATCATCTTCAAAAAGAAAGGCCTTCACCAGTAGAGTTTAAAAAAACTCAATAATCAAGGAACAACTCAATGAATTCAGTTAATTAAAAGCAATTCATAGGTTCAGTGCATGAGCAGAAGGAGGTAAAATGCTTAATATCTTAATATGGATTGCATCCTTGTGCTTATTAATCAAAATTTAACACCATAAATTAATAATAAAATAGCATTAGAAATATGAGAGCAACTGAAGTAACTCAAGTTAAGGAGATTTAAGGGAATGCCAACAATAAAATTTTGTGTTGAATCATTTCACTCACATATAAGCAACACCTTTTAAAGTTGAGTTTCCATAACAATTATGTCAGAAAAAAAAAACTTCAAGATGTGCTCTTCATCTTATTATAGAAAGGCTGCTATTTTTAGCATTGATGCATATTTTTGGAGAATAGTGGCATTTTCATAAGTAAATTTCAAATGATGCTATAAAATTTCAAAACACTGCAACCACTAAATAAGCAACTCACCGAAAATTCTTGGAGGTGATCGGGCTAGAAATATCATTCAGTTTTGCTTGAAACAATATATTTCTTTGAGCATTCTTTGGAAGAAAATGCTTAAACTGTGAAAGAAAATGATTCTCATTTTCAGTGGCAACATGAACAGCTGATGAACCGTCGATGACAATTGCTGTCACAGAATCACTAGCATAACTTTCAAGATTACCCATCATAAGCTCGATGGCATTTTTAACTTCTGCAGCTCGCATCAAATGAGCCTGTATTCACTAATAATGATAAATGACATTACAGCTATTAAATAAATGAAAAAAATAATGAAATCAAATGGTCATAATGGAACATTTAGAAAATTAAGAACTAGCTTAACAATGATGATTTATCAAAGCCTTAGAAATCTATAGAAAGCAAATAAATAACTAGTAAAAAAGAAGCCTGAACTTTTAGAACAGTAAACATAAAAAGGGTGAAACAAACCAACCAAAAAAATGTATTTTGTGAGTATTACATATCTTAAATTCTTAAGGACTGAGCTGGCATGAAATTAAAATGCCCCAATAATTAATAATAAAATAGCATTAGAAATATGAGAGCAAAAGTAACTCATGTTAAGGAGATTTAAGGGAATGCCAACAATAAAATTTTGTGTTGAATCATTTCACTCACATATAAGCAACACCTTTTAAAGTTGAGTTTCCATAACAATTATGTCAGAAAAAAAAAACTTCAAGATGTGCTCTTCATCTTATTATAGAAAGGCTGCTATTTTTAGCATTGATGCATATTTTTGGAGAATAGTGGCATTTTCATAAGTAAATTTCAAATGATGCTATAAAATTTCAAAACACTGCAACCACTAAATAAGCAACTCACCGAAAATTCTTGGAGGTGATCGGGCTAGAAATATCATTCAGTTTTGCTTGAAACAATATATTTCTTTGAGCATTCTTTGGAAGAAAATGCTGAAACTGTGAAAGAAAATGATTCTCATTTTCAGTGGCAACATGAACAGCTGATGAACCGTCGATGACAATTGCTGTCACAGAATCACTAGCATAACTTTCAAGATTACCCATCATAAGCTCGATGGCATTTTTAACTTCTGCAGCTCGCATCAAATGAGCCTGTATTCACTAATAATGATAAATGACATTACAGCTATTAAATAAATGAAAAAAATAATGAAATCAAATGGTCATAATGGAACATTTAGAAAATTAAGAACTAGCTTAACAATGATGATTTATCAAAGCCTTAGAAATCTATAGAAAGCAAATAAATAACTAGTAAAAAAGAAGCCTGAACTTTTAGAACAGTAAACATAAAAAGGGTGAAACAAACCAACCAAAAAAATGTATTTTGTGAGTATTACATATCTTAAATTCTTAAGGACTGAGCTGGCATGAAATTAAAATGCCCCAATAGATGAAATTGTAAAAAATAGCCAAAATTACCAATCATTATTCAGATCAATGGAGACTGGCCATCCTACCAAACAACTGAAAGACAAAATCAAACCGTTTAAAAAAAAAATAAAACACAACTGACACTAACAAAAACCTAGTTCATGCAGAATAAATCGATCATAGAATAAAAAAAACGAAAGAAACATTAAACAGCCTCATGTCATTTATGTTGAATAGATATTGTAATACTCAGAAACAGGCAAAACTGTGTTCTGATGACAACAACGAATACGGGCAAGAGTACAGAGTTCTCTCTAAATAGCGACTCATAATTGCAAGTTTTATTGCAGTCCTGTTCCTCGTATAAAAAATAAAAAATAAATTGAAAGTTCAATGAAGGA